CAATGGGGAAGCCAGATTCGCTTAACAACCGGGTTATTAACTTGTCAGCTACAGGGATTCATTTAACAACGGCGGCAAGAAAGGTTGTAAAATAGGGCAAAACCTCACTTAACAACATCTGTTTCGCTCAGCAATGGGAAATTCGGGGTTCAAGTTGTTGGTCATAAGTTGAGGTCCCTCTGTGTTCTTCAAAACAAATTTCCTGGCATTGCTTAGAATAATAATCCCAGGGGTTTCCCAGATGGAGAAAATGACGGGTTTATACTGTACTTCTGCCTCCATTTCTACCATTTTAGTCCCTCATCCAACCACTAAGTTGGCTTCAAGCAGCTGGTAAATAAGCAAACAAACAGATAGGATGATTTCTTGTGAATCAATTCTGCTGTCAACTCATAAAACATTCCTATGCCTGTTTTAGTAGTTGCCATTAAAAAAAGGGAGCGGGGAGAGGAAGGAAAGCAATTCAGTCATTTGAAAGCGGAAATACATTGCAACTCTTATCTTTAAAAGATTGTAACTATAATGCCAGAGATTTGGCCTGTGAATATATTTAATTGGAGAATGCGAATGATGACACCCAGCCCGTGAACGTGGTCAATTGGAGAATCTGGTTTATGAGACACCCAGGGGGGGGAATAGGGTTACAGGGGACTGTAAATAAGTGGAAGGGCTACCCATTATCAGAGACATCTTGGGTAAAGAGCAGGAATGTCCAGGCTGATCTCCTTATAACAAGATTCCATGCAGAAAATCCAACCAAGGTTAGGGGGGTGTTCGCAACCCTAAATTCTATATCTGCACTCAATTATTACCTTCAAGAAGTGAGAGGAGCCGAATGTCAACTCATAAAACATTCCTATGCCTATTTTAGTAGTTGCCATAAAAAAAGAGTGGGGGGAGAGGTAATCTGGAAGAGCAGTGCAGCAGTTTGAAAGTGAAAGTACATTCCAACTCTTATCTTCAAAAGATTGTAACTAAAATACCAGAGTTTTTGCCCACAAATATATTGAATTGGAGAACGTGATTGATGACACACAGCCACACAGGGACTCAATTGGAGAATCAGATTTATGACACACCCGGGGGGGGGGGGGGGGAGGAGGAAACAGGGTCACAGGTGTCTATAAATTATGTAGGCCAGAGTTGGCTTCATACAGGGCTGTGCCAGTATGTCGCCTCTAATGAATCCTTTGAAGTTTTTTGAAGCTTGGCTCGAGAATCATGATTTAATTAGAGCGATTGCTGGAATCCTGACACCTGCCTTAGACGCTGTAACGTTCTGATTTTCAGTTATTGAAAATACAGTTGATCAGAAGGGGACAAACAGGTGAAGAGAGAGGAACAAAACGAAAAGAAAATGGAGAAATATTGCTGGATTATTATTATTATTTTGTTCAACGTTGGCCTAGCTTACATTGGGCATAAAAACATATTGGGGGGGGGGGAGTGGATGAGACGCCACTGCTTCATGCAACATTAAAAAAAAGAAGAAGAATATTGAACAAATGAATACTCCCCATTGGGAAAAAAAAGACAGATCGGACTGCACTCTGGGCTACAAAGAACCCGTTTTTACTCACAATAGATCACTATCAGTGTGTAGTTAAAATATAGTATGGGCCGTGTGTTCCAAGGCAGCAAGAGAAAAAATAAATCACAACATTGTCAATTATCATCTGCTCAAGCAATCTTCATCATAAATATCAGTGTACACATTGAACTGTATCTCGTTAGAGGCAACCCTTTTCAGGAGGAAGGATCCCATCTGGAAACAAAATGATTTAATAATAGGAGGAAAGGAATGAGTAAGTACAGCTTTCCCAGTTGAACTTTCATCTGCGATGGCCGTGTCTGAAATTTTAGAGCTGCAATTCAGTAACATAAACTTGGACTGATCAATGATGGATCTTGACGTACTCAATCCATGTGGATCAGCGCACAAATACAACGATGGTTTCGTTAAAAACATTCTTTACAGATTTTCATAGATTTTGTTTTTATTTTTAGACCATGCATACTTATTTGGAGGGGGCAGGTATCCCCTTAGAAGGATTGCCTTCCTGTCAGAAATACCCCTTCTAACATGGGACTTGTTGCTTTACTTAAAAAAAAAAGGACATTATTGAGCTGAGTTATGCTGAAATCAAACAATTTCCAGTGGATTAATTCAATAACCGAACTGACCAAATGTTAACAATAGTACATTTGGTTAATTGCAAGGTGTACCCATAGCTCAATCTTTTTTTCCCTGTTAATTCCAGTTTAAATTAGAATGAAGAAAATTAGAAATTAAAATAGGGCCAAATCCAGACACAGCACGTAGCACAATCCTTCTACAAGATGGATTTTGCACAAGAAATTCATTTCCAACAACGTGGAGCAGGGGAAGGAGAGACCGGAGATACGATTGGTAAGGAAAACTCAGTTTTTCTAATTATCCCTGGTTTTGTGAAGCTTCAGAGCTCTGTGCTGAATTATTAATATTTGGCTTAACAGGTTTGGACAAATAGCTATGTAGGTCAGACTTACTCTGAGACCCTGACAATACTGAAGCTAATATTCAGAAACATCTGAAGGTACGTGAAACCTCAGATGCATTATTAAAGAACATGGCTTTCTACTAGTCCAAGGAGCTACATGTAATTAATGCCAAAATAATTACATAGATTTTTTTTTCCTGCAAAGAAAATATTCTTTCGCATTTCATTCACCTGTTTACAAAACATTGCTTTCCTGCCTTCATTTTCTAGTGGGCCTTCTAGGGTTTCTGGTGATGCTTGTTCGCAAAACTGAGTGTGGGGGAAGGTGGGGGAAAGGAGTATAACACAAAGGGTCATTCTTTTCTAAAATTAAGCCTTTGCTTTATGCAAGAAATAGGTTGGCTTAAACCAAGCATACTTCAAACAGTTTTCGTGACTGCGTGACACTTCTTGGTACTCCTGAAAGTCTCTGAAATGAGCTCCATCAATCCCAATGAAAGGGAACCGATGGGTTATTTTTCTGAATCGAGCCATACAGCCTCAAAGCGGAATGAGACAACTTGCTACAGTCAACCCGCCATGGCCAATTCACTGCAGGACAACTCACCACCGAACAATTCAACACTGCAATTTAATTGTTTAATGTAATTAAAAAAATTATTTTAATTTTTGTCATTCAGCTTTCACTTGGTCTCTCCTTTAGCATCCTTTCTTTACTTATTCCACCACTTCTTTGATATTAGTGTAACTCTTGTTCAGTGGCCAGTTGGCCATGGAGAGTTGGCCATGGAGAGTTGGCCATGGAGAGTTATCTTAGACCCCCTCAAAGTACTGCTAGCTCTCTTTTCCATGATCTTGACCCAAGTAGCTTAATGGTAGCTTGTATGGTCTGTGGACTGGATCCTACCAACTTTGGTTAAGGGAGATTTCAGGACCCTGGCCTCACAATGAAAAAATAACTCACTCTAATTTCCCACCGCATGTTCCTCCAAAATGTACAGGAGAGATCCATGAGCATTTGAGCTGGAGACAATGAAACCTGCTCACCTTCTTTTGCACCTCCTCAAAGGGTGCCAGGATGTCCTCGAGAGATCCAAGTCTCTTCAAAATTTGCAAACTGCTAACAAAAGGATTAGCTATCCATGTTTAGATTATGCCCAGATTTATATAGTTTGGGTGGTTAAGCAAGTTTCTTTTAAAACTAATAACGTGGGTGTTTAGTGGTGCCAAAGTTAGAGTCTTGATTAATATCTATAGAACTAACTAGAATTACAGATTGGGAATCTTGAGCGTTTAACATATACGGCAGTTTAAATTACAGATTACAGATAACAGCTCAATTATTGTTCTGTTCTCAGTCAATGGAATCAATGAGATTGGAAAATGTTTAATTAAGCAGATGAGGCTCCCGAAAACAGAATTGCTAACACTTTCGCTTTGTTTTGGTTTGTGCTGAAGCCACCCTTGGATGTATAACGAACTTATTTAATATTTGGCCGGGTTACTTTGCCAAATCATGATAGCAGCCTTCCTGGTCAAAGTCACTTCTAGCAGTAAAGCTTTGTAGAACAGACCTAATTTGTGGGAGCAGAATTCCCATTTCTCTGGAATTCTGGTTCCAAACAACCAATTTCGAAATGTAGTAGAACTACATCGGCGTACTTCCAGCCCTTGGCTACAAATGAGATCTCCGATAGAGGGAATTGAAAAGAAGGGCACCAAGATGATATACTTGTCCTCTCTTAATCCCTTTCCATTTATTTGACTACATCTCTCTTTCTCATCAGTTTTCATTCCACTATCGGTACGTGAGAACCGGTCCGAAACGGCTGAATACCACCTCTACTGAGCAGTGATAGTTGATAAAGAGGTAGGGATAAGGCTGACTTTAAAAACAAACCTGATGTAGCTTATTCCAACAATATTGGAAAATCGCTAGTCCCAGTTAAAAGAACAAAAGAAACCCCAAACCTCCGTGAAGTTCTAAGGATTGAACGGTGTAAGTGTTCCAAAGACAACACACATTAAAATGACTTTTTTGAAATGACATTTCCTAAAAAAAAATTAGCTTTCGAAAACGAGGCAAGGATGGTTAACAGCACTATACTTTCCTACATGTACAGATAGTCCTTGACCTATGGCCACCATTGAGCCCAAGCGAGGACGTTTTTAAGTGAGCCGTGCCCCATTTTATGACTTCTCTCGCCAGAATTATTACGTCCATCACTGCAAGCTGTGAAGCGAGGCAGGCATTAAAATGAATCTGGCTTGCCCCATGGGGACATGGCAATGGTTGTAAGTGTGAAAAATTTGGTCCCTTTTCTCAGTAGCTTTGGTCACTAAATGGATGGCTATAAGTCGAGGACTATATTTATTGCTAATGTGGTACAAATCAGCTTTTTGTTCCCGCTTTCCATCCGTGTACAAATCCTAGAAACTGGGTTAGTGATGATATTTTTTTTAAAAAACCCTAGGAGGAAATAAGAAAAGGAAAGGTATGTTGTGGATAAAATTACTTACGTCGTTTGCAGCCACATTTTTTAATCCTTTTGGGATCTGTGATGTCATCGTGACATGCCTTGCAATAAAAGTAGGCCCTGGAGGGGAGGGAAAAGAGTGGTTAAAAATGACACTTCTCTTAATTCATACAAATGAAATCATCTCTACGTTTTTCTCCCCGCGGAAAGCGCCGGATGAATAAAACATGCCCGCCTTAATTTCCTTTAATCTTTGGAAAGGTTTAGATGTTTAACCAAGGAAATGTTTGCTACGGGACAATTCGTTTCAAACCCCAGCTTGGGCGATTCGAGTTCATGCTTCTTTTAAGAAATTGAACTTGAACCTAATGGTGGCGCATGGTTCATAACTGTGACACCCCGGATCCGATGGTTGGGCTTTCACCTTGGAAAGATGCGTCCATTTGGACCTTTTTTAAAAATCCAGACATACAAGAGGGTGAGGGAGGGAAACACATCCTTGGCGGAGCAACTACGTTTTCAAAGGCCTCTATTTTTTAATTTTTTATGCTTTTTTAAAAAAATAAATAAGGCCAGACAGATACAGAAGTCTATTTGTTCCACTTAGTTTCACAGGGCTTAACGTTCTGAAGGGCTTCAAATACAGATGTGGAAGAAATGCAGAACAATAACATTTATTCATGGGTGGGCTTGAAAATTTTTTAGCAATGGGTCCTCTGCCCGGTTGCTGGGTGGGCGTGGCCATGGTGGGCGTGGCCTAGTTGGCCTCCTGCACCACTGTCAGGGTGTTAAGTATGGTCTGTGGGTCCCATGAATAGACGAGGCTTGAGTAGTGAACAACAGCTCTTTATTCAATAGATAGATTCTGAGACTGGGGAACCCTAGCGCGTGGCAGCTCTTCTTAGAGAGCTGGCCACGGCTTGGCAGCCAATGACAACTCTTGAGTTTGCCGCGCTTGGTTTCAGCCAATCACGGCAAACCCTGTATGGGCCAATCAGGAACGTTCAAGCCATCCAATAACGATCCAGCTTTTCTAGACCAATAGGAACGCAGGGTTTCAAGCCTACTAATATGGAACACAGGGTGTGTGTGTTTTTGCCTTCCCTGGGCTCCAGAGGCTTTTCTCGAGCCTCCAGGAGGGCGAAAACGGCCTCCCCGGGCTCCTGAGGCTCTCTGGAACCTGGAAACGGGCCTGTTTCTAGCCTTCCCGAACTTCTGGGAGGCCCATTTTTCACCCTCCCCAAGTCTCTGTATGTCACTCACCTGCATCCAAAACAGGCCACACTGGGAGGGGTGGGGCAGGGTGGTGGATCCAGCCAGAAGTGGGATTTGGGGGTTCTCCAAACTATGCAGAACCTTAGCTAGAGGCTCTCCCGAAACCCCAGCAGCCCACCCCTGCATTTATTGCTGAAGTTGCATTGCCTCTGCAGCTGAATACAGGATAGCAGAATTGGAAGGGACCTGGGAGGTTCTCTAGTCCAACCCCCTCCTCAAACAGGAGACCCTATCCCATTCCTTAAACATTTCCACTGATGTTGGCTTAGAACTGGACTGGGGAGAATTTCTGCTCAACGCAGCTAAGAGAATTTCATAGTGTTGTTGTTGTTGTTGTTGTTGTTGTTGTTATTATTATTATTATTATTATTATTCTCTATTCCTCCCTTCTTTCACAAAATATTTTTTAAAATAGGCGGTGGGAAGTGAACAACTCGAGAACAACTTTTCAAAAGTAAGGTTTAGTGAAACGTAGGGAAAGGATTGAAAAAAAAAAGGGGGGACTCCTGCTATTGCCAATCAGAAACGTTTAATTGAGTCCATTTTGATTTATCAACTCGTTGTGTAATGGTGTAATTATACTGAACTTAAGCTGAACAACTTTCTTCTGGAGCGGTGTTGAAAATCTTCCTCCCTGCATCCACTGATAAAGTTTTAATTGGCTGTATTTGGGGGAGGGGAAGGCAGGCAATCCAGACTGTACTGAAAAAGTGTATTATGACAAGAATTGGGATAGAAATCAAGAAAGGAATTGAAAATAATGTCCTTTACATTCTAAGACTAAATGTAAATCTATAAGAATTTGAAATAGGCATGCATTTCTGATTGCTTAGAAACTATTTGATGTTTTTTTTAAAAAAAAAATCAGAATTAAATGTATAAATATATGAGATGGTGTGTTAATCTCACATACAACGATGCTAAAATGATCAGCAATCAAATGATCAGTCTCCCAAGGAATATAAAGCACCCAGAAATCTTAAAAGGTTTACTAAGTTGTATGCTAAAAAGGGGGAACGCTTTAGAAGTACAAAACATTATAAATGGAAAATGGATTTTTTTTTCTCTCTCTCTCTTCTTTTAAGGAAGTTAACAATCAAAAAATTCAATTTATTGCAGCCCAACGCCAGTACGGATAACGAACAAATAAAATTTAAGACAGAGTTAAAGTACCTTTGTAAAATAACCTGATTGATTGATTGAATTCAACCTTTCCATCAAAAGTAGGTACTTTACAGTACACGATAGAAAAGGAATAGAATTCACAATGTTAATTTCGAGCTGCTCTGATAGGCTTTCTCATCTGAATTACAGATAGTTACAATAGTTCATTTAATGACCATTGAAGTTACATTGAAAAAAGTGACTTATGACCATTTTTCACACTTCTGACCACTGCAGCATCCTCGTGGTCATGTGATTTAAATTTGGATGCTTGACAACTTGGTTTATACCTATGACGGTTGCAGTGTTCCAGAGACATGTGAACATATTTTGCTATTTTCTGACAAGTCAATGAGGAGGAAGCCAGATTTACTTAACAACCATGTTACTAATTGAACAACTGCAGTGATTCACTTAACAACTGTGGCAGAGAAAGGTCGTAAAAGGGGGCAAAGCTCATTTCACAAATTTCTCACGTAGCAACATAAATCCAATTGTGGTCGTAAGTGGAGGACTACCTGTGTTAAGGGCAATAAGCTTTGCTTGCTAAAACAACGGAGGCTGCATGCTGAACCTCTACACTGTATACGATGGAGGTGTGTACAAAGTCAAGGGAAGTTTTGGAGGCATTCAGAAGACTAGGTTGAAAACATAACATGGGGTTGACTAGCCTTTGGTCAAATCTAGACAGAATCAATTTGTAGATGTCACTAAACTGGCAGGAATAGCCAACACACATGAAGACAAGGTCAAGATCCAAAAAGATCTTGACAGACTTGAACAATGGGCCCTATCCAACAAAATTAATTTCAATGTGGAAAAAAGCAAAGTTTTACATTTAGGAAGGAAAAATCAAGGGTGCAAGTGCACATTAGGCGAGACCTGGCTCAGAAACAGTAACTGGGAGAAGTACCTTGAAGTCTCAGTGGATGATCGCTTGAATATGAGCTAGCCGTCTGTGGCAACAGCCAAAAAAGCTAATATAATCCTGGGTTGTATAAGCAGAAGCATAGAATCAGGATCAGGTATTCCTCCTGCTTTATAAAGCCCTAGTAAGGCCACACCTGGAATACTGCAATCAACTTTGGTCACCAGACTACAAAAAAAGATGTTGAGACTTTGGAAAAAGTTCAGAGAAGAGCAACTAAGATGATCAAAGGCCTGGAGACTAAAACATATGAAGAACGGCTGCAGGTTTTGGGTTTGGCTAGTCTAAAGAAAAGAAGAATTCAGGGTGACATGATAGCAGCATTCCTGCACTTCTTGCCACAAAAAAGAGGGGGTCAAATTATTCTCCAAAGCACCCGGGGGCAGGACAAGAAACAATGGATGGAAACTCATCAAGGAGAGAAGCAACATGGAATTAAGGAGAAATTTCCTAACAGTGAGAACAATTAACCGGTGGAACAACCTGCCTCCAGGAATTGTGGGCATTTCATCACTGGATGTTTTTAAGAAGAGACTAGACAGCCACTTATCTGAAATGGTATAGGTTCTCCTGCTTGAACAGGGGGCTGGACTAGAAGACCTCCAAGGTCCTTCTGGATCTATTCTGATTGAATAGCTTGTCATCAGAAGTTGTGGGTGCTGCATCCCTGGAAGTTTTTAGGAAGAGATTGGGCAGCCATTTGTCTCAAAATGGTATCAGGTCTCCAGCTTGAGCAAACGGGCTGGGCTAGAAGACCTCCAAAGGTCCCTTCCAGCTCATTCATTCTATTCATACGGACATCATGCACCATGAATGTCTTCAGGTTTCTCCCACATTCCTTCCCACATATAAGAACCTAGAGTTGATCTTTCATTACCAGCAAATGCTCCTAAAAGTTGAGTGAGCCCTACAATTCTTGTCAAGTTCTTCACCACTCTTATCACATCACATCCTGCCCCAGCCGTGAGATTCGGGAAAGCTTCCAGAATGCATCATGGACCGCGATGAGACAATTACAGAATGACCAAATAGTTTTACCTTTTCACTTCTTTGGCATCGCTTGCAATGAAGAATCCTAGCGTACCCTCTTGAATTTTCACATGATTTCCAGGGTTGATCAATATACTGCCCAGTGAAATGGAACAAAACGACAAACAGGAATCAAAAAAGAGAGAGAATGAGGTCGGGGCATGCTATTTTTGTGCTATGAAATCAAACTCATTATTTCTTATTACTCCATTATAGGGGGCCCATTAGTTTGGTAAATCCAAAAGAAAGGGGAAAAAAAGAAGGCCATTAGAAGCCATCTTATTTTATTTTTTTTAATGAAAGGTTTCAAAATATGAGCTGTATGGAAAAGCTGAGGCAGAAAATGCATTCCACTCGTATCACCAAAAGTCTTTATCTTGAAACTTTGCTCGAGGCCCGAGCGACTTCAGTTAGGGGTAGAAAGGAGCGGGAAAACATACAAAAAGCTTTGATATATTTTTTTTTGCTCTGCATTCAGAGTTAACAAAATCATTATGATTGATGCAAAGAACAATGATTCCCATGGCAAGTATCTGCCCGGAAAAGTCTCACACTTCTGACAGTTTAGCTCTTTGTGCCAATTTCTGTTGAAGTGGGGTATTATTAATGGGCCCCCTATTACTGTCTATCACATGAGTAATAGCATAGTACATACATATATATGCTCAGGGGGAATGGTACAAGACAACCATTTACGATTGCTAAAGAAAACATAAACCGAGTATGGTGGTTAATCATTTCTCCAGCCCAAAGCCCCTTTTTCAGACTGCTGTCAATGAATCAAAATAAGTTACTCATCCTTGCTAGAAAAATCAAATCAACTGCGCTTCAAGATTTAGACTAATCTCATTGGACTGACCTCTGGGTTTATGGCGTACGTGCTTCCACAGGAACTATGACTTTGGCCAAATCAATGCACATTTTTAACAGAGCCTGGCTAAGGTCTTAGACCCTGGCTTTGGGAGGGAGAGTGGGTGAACATGGGCAGACATCCATGAAGTACTTAATTTGTACATCTGTAAATATGAAAGTTTGGGTAACCAGTTTCAGGTTTCAGCCATTGAGTATTGAACGTTCTATCAATTCCAAAATCCAGGGAAGGTGTAAAGTCTACTAGGATGCAAGTGAATACATCAACCACATATTAAGTGATTGAACACGCTCATCGTGCAAGAAATACCCACCCAATGGAACACATTTATAATTGACTTTGTTTTATTTTCCTTTGCATACAGATTTGTCATCCGCTTAGAACAAGGGCCCCCAACCTTGGCAACTTTAAGCCTCATGGACTTCCACACTGAGAAGTCTGGCATGAGTAATTCAAGTAGTTGAAGTCCACAAGTCTTAAAATTGCCAAGCTTGGAGAACCCCTGTCTTAGAAAACTTTGGTAGTTGGGCAGATCAAAAATGCAATCAACAAATATGTAATGTGGAATACATTGTAGGAATATGCCTGATCTCTATTTAGTGAATGTCAAGATTTTCAAAGGATTTTTTTAAAGCTAAAAAAAAATAAAACTAAATGATTCTATGTTCCATGTGCATCTTCCCATGACCTGATCCTGCCCCATTATCTTTTTAACATTTCTTATTTTAATGGATCACATCCTACAAAGGAAAGAAGGGAAGAAGGGAGGGAGAATTCTCACTGTTTTAAAAAGGCACAGTTAATTTAGCTCAACAAAAAATTGTACAGGTGAATTCACAAAATTGGTTTCTTCCTGGAAAATCATAGGCATAGGCAATTTTCCACTATCTTTTAATGCCGTGGACCAAGATAATGGTTTACACCAGCGGTGTCCAAATTTGGCAACTTTAAGAGATGTTGGCTGGAAAATTCTGGGATTTGAAGTCCACTGGTCTTAAAGTTGTTAAGTTTGGAGACCTCTGGTTTATGCTACGGCAGTTATTAGTTGTTGGAATTCATTTGTGCTGCTGAAAAAGCCAATCTCTTGTCATTTCTACTTCTTAGGACTAAACACATGCTTGCTTTCCATCTTGCACCTCTCTGGGTTTCATTAAAGCAAAACGTCTATTTTTCCAGCATGAATTAGTTAGCAGTTTCTGCTTTTCAAGCAAGTGTTGATGCCTCAAGAAAGAAGGAATACTCCAAGGAGTAGCAGAGAGGTGGCTCACTTGTGTGAGGTCTGAAGGATTTCCTCCCAATCCTTTTCAAAGCATTTTTGATAATACCAATAAAGAAGAATATTTATAGCTCTGGATTAAAATGAAAGGTCCTTGGCTCTCCCTCTGCTTGGTTTTCTTGCAGATGTTTCATTAACCCAATTAGGTAACACCATCAGTGCTGGTCAATGCTAGCCAGACTAGCACTGATGATGTTACCTGGCTTGGTTAATGAAACGTCTGCAAGAAAACAACCAAGCTCAGAGAGCGCCAAGGAGCTCTCATTTTGAAAACGTTCATTTTCAAAGCAGTTTTATAGAGCTTCTAAGGGAAACTCGATTCTCTGTGTGTGTGTGTGTGAGTCCATAATTTCATCGTTGTTAAGTTAAAAGAGAGTTAACATGCATGCAATGTTCGTAGGAAACAAATACCGCCATGATTAGAATCAATTGGGACTTAGTAGAAAACATGTTTTAAGGGAATGAGACAGTGAAAGCACATATATATGAACACAAACAGTGCGAGATACACATGGATACAGCTTTCTGGCATTATCTTTGAGAGCCAGTGAATCCTTCCTCCTGCTACCTACTCATAAATGGTATTCTTCTGGAAATATTTGAAGGGCATGTAAGAGATTTTTGCAGGAAGAACCTATGGTTAGACATAAAGCTGCTAAGTGGTCTTCAAATTTACCATAAGGCCTAAAGTATCCAGTATCTTCACTGTTGAGTTGGAGAAGAAAAAAATAACTGGCATTAATTGGATAGTATCCATTTCTCCTTCTTAGATTGATAATGAGATGATGTTTTCAATATCAGGTGAAACCATCTGACTCCTGGTTAAAACCTGTTTTACATCTTTCCTGATTATTAACAATCATTGTGGATAATGTAAAAGAGGTGGGTTTTTCTCTCTCTCTCTATTAAGCAGCTAAACTCGAGTTGCCATTGAATTTAACCTGAATTTTATTTTCAAAATCTGGAAGTTCTTTCTTTAGCATTTTTTTTTAAATGCAGCAAAATGTTACGCTTTTTAATTTTTAATTTGTTTTAGAAGATAAACCAAAGATCAAAAAGAGGAAAAAAAATGTGATTTAGAAGACAGGACGATTCTGAGCTTAATAATTATTAGCATATATTTGAGTAAAAGGACTTATTATTGTTGTTGTTGTTGTTGTTGTTGTTGTTGTTATTAATCAGGCATTCAGACTGTGTGTGGCATTTTTGTCCACCTATCAAGTCCTTCCTGAAGACCTGAGATAGGTAGATGTGGATGGTTGATGAGAGGATGGAAGCTCCTTCCGAGCAAGGCTGCCTTTTGCAATTGACCGATGGTGACTTTGTCAATGCCCATGGTGTTCAAGGGATGCTCCAATTGTTTTGTAATTATTAAAATAAGAGCCATCGTGGCACAGTGGTCGGAATGCAGTATTGCAGGCTAATTCTGCCAACTTCCAGAAGTTTGATCCTGACCAGTTCAAGATTGAAGCAGCCTTCTATCCTTCCAAAGTCAGTAAAATGAGGACCCAGATTGTTTGGGGACAATATACTGACTCCGTAAACCACTCAGAGCAGAATTTAAACCATATTTTAAAAAACAAGCGACAAAAAGATTCAAAACCTAAGGGGAATTCAGGGAGTAGCAAGTCATGCACAGGGTGGAAGTGCCGACATTTTGACTGGACACCAAAGAGTAAAATCTAAGCTTGAGTTCAGGAAATTGATCCCTCCTGATATTCTGTCCCATACAATTGCTAAATTGTAAGTTGTATTGAAAATTTCAGATAGCATCTCACACAATCTCAGATGGGCATTTCTATCCCTGAATTTTATCCCTGAGTACTAGTAATTTCATTACTATGTTTGTATACACTTTTCATTTCTCAGGCCTGGGGACAGTGAGGAAATCAAACTTTTGCATAAAAATATCTGTACTGTTGTTTCAAAGTAAAGATTTTTTTAGTGATTTGTTTTCAAGGGGTAAAACTATATGCTTTATAGTTCCTTTATCTATTTTTTTTATTATTCAGTATTGTTCCATTGCAATGTGACTGTTAATATACAATGCAATCCACATTTCAGTTTTATTTTGTCTGTTTATAATGAATAATGAATTTATGTTAATTATGAACCCATGTTTTAAGTATTTTTGATTTGTTTCTATACAGAACATCGTTGACCTTTTTAAAAAATGTTGCTAAATTAATATAATTAAAACATTGCTAAATTAATATAATACTAAAATACTAAAAGTGGCATTTAATTAAACAGCAGGAGAAATTCACATTTTTTTTCCTCCTAGCCTGAAGTAATGTTTTCAGTTGTTTCATATTAAATATTAATTCCAATGAACTTCAGTAGCATCAGAATTAATGGTATGATTGATCAGAAAGCTAAACTTGAGCTGACATTCTTCTATCACCCAACTTAATGTGGCTCTCATTGTAGGATAACTGAGGATAATTATATGGCATAACATCCATATCATTGTAAAAAAAAAAAAACTGGTCTAAAACAATGCTGTGAATATTTCTTCGCTAATAACTACCATTTGGGGAATTCTGGGAAGTGAAATCCAGACATTTTAAAATAGTTGAGATTATAGAACACTGATTTAGGACAAGGGGCCTTATTTAATAAGGCAGTAGATGTTATATCCTGCTATGAAACCAATAACGTTTCAGCAGAAGTATACCTTGCCTTAGTTAAATCTTAGATAAATTTGAACCATTGCTATGTTTGTGGAAATAAAGTTTCTATGGGTCAAACTACATGTTACATTAAGCACAGAATATACCACTGACTCTTATATCTGAAGGGCAGTATGGTGGCTCAGAGGTTAAGATGCTGGGCTTGTCCGCTGGAAAGCTGACAGCCCTGGTTTGAGAACCAAGTGCCATGTGATGGGGTGAGCTTCTGTTCTCACCTCAGCTCCTGCTAAGCCTAGCAGTTCAAAAATGTGCAAATGTGAGTAGATAAATGGGTACCACTTCGGTGGGAAGGTAACAATGCTCCATGATGTCATGATGGCCGCACAACCTCAGAAATGTCTTTGGACAGCACTGACTCAATGGCCTTCAAATGGAGACGAGTACCAACTCCTAGAGTTGGCAACGGCTAGTGGAGTAAAATCCTCAGGGATTCCTTACTTCTGAAGTAGGATTCCCAGGCTGAAACTTTCATAAACACAAGGGGCAAGGCCTCATTGCTTGTATCTTTTGACCAACACAGCATCCCAACATAATTCTGCAAGCATCTCTCAATTTGGGTATTTGTGCAATGTTGCAACGTGCATCGAGAAAAAAGTAACAATTGTCCTGAGTGGTATAAATCTGCATTCTTCACTCTGACCAATCCTCCCTTACCCTCAAAGATGGCATTGAAGGGAAAGAAACTTCTCAGCTTTTGACTTATGTTGTTTGCTGCCTAGAATAGTTTTGATGTGTCTCTTTGTCAACCTTGGAAGCCAGTTTTTACTTGGAAGCTTCGAGGCTGGCACATTCAGTGCCTGGGAATTTGGGAGGGGGGATTTCATAGAGAGTTAGAAGATTAGACACAACAACATTCTTTTCTCAGAGAGTCAAGGACATGTTGCCCTGCACCTGGAAAGGAGTGTCTGGAGGAAGGTCTCCAGTTGGGACGAAGATTTGGATGGGCCATGTGATGGACCGATGGGCGCAGGGGATGAATCTTGGATTTTCTTTTGGGAAGGGAAAACCCAGAACTCTCAGATTCGGATTTTCCCAAATGTGCCAATATGACAACTCTAATAAAATGGAACTTTGAGGAAATGCCTGTCTCTGAGTTTATTGGTTTGGAGTTGGTTAGTTGGAATGCTGACATCTCTCAACTTTCTTTGGAGCCAAAAAGAACAATAGGTCAGCTATATGTTACATGCTTAATGCAACATAGAGTTTAACTTTCAATCTCCTTCTGATAGTTAGAGATCCTTATTCTAAATAAATGCCAATATTTCCTATTAGGTCTTGAACACTAGGGAAGCTAAACAATTTGCTCTATCACCTGTTTCTCTCAAGGAAAAAAATGAGAACAGAACATTAAAATGAATATTGTTATATCAGCAAATAAATCCAAATATCTGCCTTGTATGCCTCAGCATTGAAAGCATACTACAATATTCTGATGTAGGTCGAATGTCAAGCTTTTCAATGGGATGAGTGACTAAAAAAAAAAATAGTAGTAGTAGCAACTTTCATGCTATGGTAGATGTGCTGTACCATTCCCCGTGCAATTAAGATCACAATAAAATATATGTTTCACCATCATGATGCAGTGCTGTGTTTAGTTTAAGAGAGATGGGACATTCCTGATTACAGGCAAGATTTCCTTGAAGATGGCTCCATAGGTTATGGCAAACGGTTCCACTAAGGTCTCCTTAAAACGAACTTTACTCGTTGAAGTATTTATGAATGACGGAAAAGAAAATTACTTTTGTTTTTTCCCTTTATGAGTTTCTTGAGACCGTATTTGTAAATAATACAGAGACATGCACATGAGTCGGTTTGGGGCAGCAAAGAATCTCTCTGCTAGCACTCTCCAGGAGTTTTCAAGCTAATGTTAATACAGGTTTACACAAAGAGGAAAATAAATCACCGTAGACACCAATGAGAAGGCAAATGACACAACACTTTGTAAAGCAGCAGAACACTAGAGCTGGATCATCAGTTCAGCAAGCAGTTCTAAGTGTTGCTCCCAGAGAATTAAGTCTTTTCTCACAAATGGGGATGGCCAAAAGATTTAGTCATTTTCTTTTTTACGATGCCCAAATTTGCTTTAAGTCAAAGCAGATCAAAACCAAAATCTGATAAGATGCCTACGAATGAGCCACCGATGCTCTAATTTAAGTGAGATTTGAGTCATTCTAGACTGGGAGCAAAATGGCACACCTTTAAATCACACACACACACACACACACACACTTGTTTCCACACAGCTTTGCATGCCTTTACCACGAGGTTAAAATTACTGGTAAACAAGAAGCCATATGAGAGGTGCAACATCTGCAGATTCCTTGGAAGATGCCAAAGTGTTGCAGTAACTTCTCTGCAGTTGGATCATATGAATAATGCCAAACTGTCAGGAAGCCAGGTCTCTTGTTCACAACTCTACTCCAAATCCACAGGGTATTAAAAACTAAACAGAAAGGATATCACAGACTACACAGGATGATAAGACAGAAGCAGGGAACGGGAGAAAGAAAACAAGATTTCAGGATGTGAGGTTCAAAAAAGCTTCATCCGAATGGGGTGAAGAATGGAGGAAACGCCAGGGTGAAGTTGGAGAGGCATTCAGATGAACGAAATCAAAAGAGAAATCAAAGGGATTTGGTGAGGCATGCCTTGTTGTTCTCAAAGACACAACAAAACTGCACGGCAGGTCAGTTTATGTTCAGTACTGAATATCAGCACAATCAACGCAAAACGGACCAAACCAAAAAGTGAGGGCAAGAAATCAACCCATTCAAATATTCCAGTCAAAAGTCTCGTAGGAAAAGCTACACGAAGGCCATGGTTAGAACTGGAGTAGCTTCTGGGTGGGGTGATATTTCAATGATTCTGGTTCGGTGTTAGGCTCAAAACTGAAAGCGGAAACCAACCAACAAATAAAAAAGGCATTTGGACTCTACTCATGAAAATGGCGGAAGGGACAGTGTGAAGCTCCGTGTGGTACAGAAACTCTGGAAGGACACTTGATGGGGGAAT